TAGTGGGTCAAATTGTTAAGAGGGATGGTGGCTTAACAGGGAGGGAGTAGATAGATAATAGAGGTTCCCATTATCAGCAAAAAAAAAAAAAAAAAAAAAAAAAAAATAACCTATCTTCAGTAGGACAGTATAAGGCCAACAGAGAGGGAAGCAAAGTTAATAGAGATAATTACTATTTCACTAAATCCCAAACCTCCTGTATTGCCCAGTCATGCAGTGTGGGCTGCTAATCCTAGCAGCCTGTTCGGCCACCATTTTGTTACCTACATATAGCGCAAGCTCCCCCTACAGGGTAGGTTCATTACTGGTTCAAGCAGCCGAGTTGGTGTTTTCATGTTCTCCGCTGTTCATTGCTGCACTCTACCACACTCCGCCACACTCCTCCACACTCCACTGCACACCTCCGTCCCCAGCACCACGCCACGCCAGGCCACACAGCACCAGGCCACGCCATTTGGCCGAGTGCGCTTGCGCAGTAGGAGGGCGGAAAAGCCTGAAGCTTTTCACTCTTACTTACCCCACAATCCACCCCCTCAGGGTTTGCCACCATACAGTCTAGGTACAAGTATATACAAGTTTCCCCTGGCAAATACAAACACTGCAGCCATGGCCCACAAGAGCAAACAGTATACATCACAATATAACTAAGTTCAATTCTCCTAGGGGCGGAAAGATAAAGAAGTTACTAGTACCAGCAACGGGAGATCCTTCCCATCTGGCAATATACATGCCAATTTTGTGTCCAAAGATAATATTGTATTATCAGTGGCCTTCCAGGTCGTGAGTACCACACTCGCTTTGGCAGTGAAGAGGCAGCAGAGGGCTCTACATGCAGTGAGAATGGAGAGCTCATAATAGGCCACAGAGTCATCACAAATGTCCCCTTTAGGACTGCCTTCCGATCTGCCACTCCAGGATGGGTGACACGCACCTGTGGCGGCCACTGTGCAGTTGCCCATGGTGTGATTTGTAAATTGGCCTCCAGGCCATGACCCCAAGGGGCTATCAGAGCCACCCAGCGCATGTGGAGCGCCTTCACAATTCAGGGCCATTCCCAGTCCACAGTCTGCCCTGGGTCCACTCCAGTCAGGGCTGGCAATAAAATGTTGCCCTGCTGTCCAAACTCAGGTTTTAACAAAATATCTGAAGTTTGTATCTGCAATTGGATGGGAACAGCGGCATGATGCAGCAACGCCTCCACTGGAGCCAGGCCGCCTTCCTGCTTCTCTCATTTAGTGTCCGTGGCATGTCCCACAAATGTCAGCTCCACCCGGCCAGTGTCAGAGCGGGGACAGTAGCTCTCAGTCCTTGCTTTAGCAGGCCGTTATAATGCTCTACGATCCCTGCAGCTTTGAGGTTATAGGGAATGTGAAATTTCCATTTAACACCCATGTCCTTGGCCCACTGCTGCACCCGTGCTCCTATAAAATGAGTCCCTTGGTCGCTTTCCACTACCAGTGGACATCCATATGCAGCACATAGGCGTGCCAGTGCTGCCAAAACTGCCTTTTGGTCCCGCATGTGGAGCAAGATAAACTGCCAATAACCCGGTAGCAATGTCCACACAGGTGATTGCATACTGTTGTCCATCAGAGCGAAGTAGTAGTGCAATGATGTCAATCTGCCAGCGTGTCAGAGGTACCTGCCCTCGCAACACCTGGCCTGTGGATGCAAAAGGTCTCCGGAGGTAAGTCCTGGAACACACTACACATTGTTCACAAACAGTCTGAACCTCCTCTGAAGTTACAGGTAGACCCCAGAAACGCACAGTGGCCCACACTGTCTTTTGCCCTGCATGGAGCAAGCGTCTGTGCAGCGACTGTGTAACATGCCATGCAGGAGCAGTTTCAAGCCATCGTACCCGGGCTTGGAGATCTGCCTCATCATTGCCTGGTGAGGCCAATGGGGCACGTCCTGTGACATGATAAACAGTCACCTACTTCTGATGGCCCAAATCCCATAGATCTTTCCATAGACCTGGTCCCGCAATGGCCAATGCATGACTGTCCATTCATTTGGAAATCCACAGTGGCAGGCCCCTATACACAGCGCAACTGACAGCACAAATTACTAGAGGGGAAGGCTCATGGGCCACCACCATCACAACGCTTGCAGTTCAGCCCATTGGCTGCTCTGTCCTGTACCAGTTTCACACCAAATGGTGTCCGTTTCTGGGTGTACAGTCACAGCTGTCCAAGATGCTGGCTGGCCCCAGCTGGAGCCATCCGTAGACCAGGCCTCCACTGGAATTGGTGCTCGTCCCTCCTAGTAGGGACTAGCTTCAGGTTCAACTTCTGAAGTTGGTTCCATCCTGACATACATCACCGGACCAAGAACCTCCTGCAACTCTGCCCGTAAAGGGTTAGTTGACGGGGTGCAGCACTGTTCTAGGTAGGCCCCCCACTGCACCACGGTGGGCGTTTGAGCAGTACCATTATGGGGCTTTGTCATCCAATCCTGTACCCATCCGGCTATTGGGTAGGTGGTTCTCACTAAGACAGGAGCTGTGGCAATTACACTTGCAGTAGCTAGTAAGGCTGCATATACTGCAGCTAACTGTTTTTCAATTAAGGAATACCTAACCTTAGCCCCCTTCCAGAGTGGGGACCAGAACCAATAGGCTGTCATAGCCTCTCTGATTTCTGCCAGAGCCCCCACCTTCCTGAGTAACTTAGAATGTTTAACCAAGATAAATGATTTTAACCAGATTTATTTGAACTTAGTGCCCATTTTAGGTAAGGAGAGGGGAAGGTGGTTTATTTACTTGTTTCATACTTCATAGAAATTATAAATTTTTTGAATATTGATATTTTCTCAAATATAATTTTGGAATTGGTACAGGTCTGTACCCATCAGACATGATGAGGCAGGAATACTGATTCTGTATGCATCTAGTGTTAGGGAGGTTACGTAAATCATTTTACAGTTAAGTTGTACTTGTTATTTGCAAAGACAATTTTATGCAAATATACTGTACAGATTCGGGGAATTACTACTCTTGTCCCCTTCACTGTTAGTTCTGTCACATTTTGGAGATTTGTGCTGACAGCAAGACATTGCTTGACTCTAGTGTTTTATAGTTATCAAGCTGGAGCCTGGGGAAATTTGAAATCATTCTCAAAGACATATAGTTGAAGGAAGGCGATTCATTTTAGGGCATGATGGTTATTGAGCCACTTATTAACCTGTTTTCTTTTCTTTCTAAACCCACTCATGTAAATTCTGCTTTGTAAAACTAAGACTGGGACTCTGCTTATTTTATTTCTCTAGAAATAGAGCTAGAAATACAGCCAGCTGGAGTCCCTAACTTTAGCCACTAGGGGATGCTGGAGGGAGACAGGGAGGCAGGTGGAGAGAATTCCTTAGTCTTGCTTTATTGTCACGCCCGCAAGGGCACTTCACCTCCTAGTAGCAATTGTCCCCATCAGCAGTTGTTTTCAGTTTCTAAGTTCTTTCTACACACTCAGCATTGGTTTTATTGTTCTTTATCACATCAATACCTGCCAGAGGGTGTCCCCTCCTAAAATGTCTCTGATCCTCAGCACTGAAGCAAGGTTACATAATTTTTCTAAGTCCTAGTCTTCCCAGAGAGGAGAGTTTCAAACAGCAAATGGCTAGTGGTTTCAAACACTACAGGGGGCAGATTATTTAATTTTTCTAAGCTTAACTCCAGTTTTTAACAGCACACAAAAATCACGTGGCAAAAAGTGAACAATGACTTCAACAGGAATGTCATTAATGAGCATTTTGGATCAAGCACCAGTGGGGTAGGAAGCATGAAGCTGGTTGCTGTGAGCCAAATATTACACTGGATGTAAAGAAATGACTATTTACTGTAAATGGAATGGACAATAATCATAATTATTTGTTGTGCAAAGGCTTTTGGTTTATTGAAGAGTTGAAGATTTGAATAGTAGCACTTAAATGTTTAAGGGGAAAAGGCAATTTAGAGGTTAACAAGGAGAGGAAACAATCTGTACAGCGAGATCTTTGAGGCTTCTAGAGGGACATAGCATGGAAACATATCGAGACATATGTTCTGCAGCAGAGATGGGGTAACAATTTTTTTTAATTTCTACAGGATTGAAAGGAAAAAGATAGTGTGGATACAGGACAGTTATGGACTTATAGGTGGCAAGGAATTGATGTAACTCCAGTCAGGACTTTTAAAAGAAATTGTTGGCATAGTACATCAATTAAAAGCACAGGCTCTGAAGATAGACTTAATTCCCAACTCAACCTCTAATCATTTGCCTTGGGCAAGTTATTCAACATACCAATGCCTTGCTTCCCAGTGGGTAATCACGCACTTAACCTCTTAGATTTTTGCAAGGACTTGATGAGTTAATATATAAAAAAAAATCACTTAACAGCGCTGAACATAAGCTCTAGATGTGTTAGCCATTATTAGTGTGTGACACAAGAGTTGTCCTACTGAAAGTGACTGGAAGATGGTGGGCTCAAGGATTTTTAACTGAGAGGAGTTAGTTTAAAGGAAATGCTGCAGGATACAAAAAAGAACGAGTTAGCACAACATAAAAGAAGTGTTATATATTGTTGGAGAACCCAGTTTGAGTTGGAGATCATGAATTTGTAGCAATCTTCAGGGTTTTCTTTTCTTCACCCTTCATTCCAATTATCACCAACAGAAGGCAGATAGTTGAATGGATACAACTGGAAGTTGTAGCAGAACAGTGGCGTGACCAACCCTGACGACATGAGGATCCACGTAACTGAGATTCCTATTTTAAGATGTGAACAAGGTTCCATGGAGCAAAAATGTTTAGAGGATGTTTATAAATGACAGAAAATTGGTATGTTGTGGTGGATCAAGAGAGCTGAAATGATGGGGAATTGTGGTTACTCAATTCCAGATGCTCTTCACACAGCTGGAAACCTCACTTTCCCTGCATGGGGATTGGACGACTATGAAGTGAAGGGGCGGGGCCCATGCGACGAAGATAAAGAGAATTGTGATGGGATAGGATGGGGTGGGGCTTGCGGGGGGTGGGGTGAAGGTGAAGTTCTCCGCAATTACTGTAAACTCAGGTAGTAGTGGGCACCCCTGGCTCTGAGACTCAGCAGCATGTGCCTGCGTTGCACTCGTGCCACTGATGATGCTACCCAGGTCAACCCCGTGAGTGTCCAAGAGGCTTTGCCCCTCCTACGCCGTCCTGCCCCTGGGCTCTAGGTATCAGGGACAACACCCTCGGGCATTTTCAAGAGCAGTTTGGTGCCAGGAGTTGAGAAATCAGAGTAGACAGATTAAATCCTGGAATGCAGGACCTACCCAGGTAGAGGAAAATCCCACAATGCTCCTTCTAGAGGGCAGGCTTGTTCAATCATGTTTGTTGACCGATCTGTTCTTAGTGACTTGCCCTGAAAGTAAGGTGGGGGTTACTGAGATGGATGCAGGCCAAACTCAATATTCAGATGGCAGGAGATTGTTTTTGAGTCTTTTGGATCAAAGTGAGGGGAGAGGGAGATATTTAAGGTAACATTCAAAGTTTGGGGAAAGAAGTGGGAATCCCGTAAACTAACAGCTAAACATCCTATGCCTCAGAAAACCATACTAGCTGTTGGTGTTGTAACTGGCAGAAAACTCAGTCACCTTTCCCAGGTTTCAGAAGTTAAAGACAAGTTCCAAAATCAAAGAGCAGTATAGCACCTTTGAAGTCATGATGCCAGCAGAAACATGTTTTACACTATTATTGTTATTATTTATTTATTTATTTTACACTCTTTCCTTCCAGAATAAAGCTCAGTATTCTACGTGTTCCCAGTAATGTGGTTGATAACTATTTTTTTCCCCCACAATATTGTCAATCCTGCATCCTGATTTTTACCTTGATATTCTGATTCTGCCTCTTGTGTTTAAGATAATATACTAACATTACATTAAAAAAAGGTAGCATAATAATAGATTCCTACTGTAATTTTTTTTGTTTTTTTTAACACTTTTCCATATTATGTAGGAAATCTCAAAATGGCATCCTTCTGCAGCGACCATGAGAGGGCAGGTAATGTTTAAATAAATTCTGGTTCTCTCAAGAATGGGACTTATTTTTTTATGGGTGGTGGTCTCTAATGAGACAGAATTTTTATTTGAGAGATATTCTGTGTTATCTTTCTTGGGACACAGGAATCTTGTGCTACTATTAGAACGAGTCTTGACCTAAATGCCATATTCTCATTTTTACTGTAACATTTGATATATACATAAGAATATAGGTAGCATATATAATATGTAAAGCAGAGTAATAAAATATAACTCCAACTTAGGAAAACATTCTGAACTCATCTAGAGTCTATTTCCTTATTCTATCTCCCTGCATCTTGGTCAGAGATAATTATTGTTTTCTCAAATTTTAGAGTTTTATTTAGATTTTTGTTCATGAAACACTTTGTTGTGTTTTCCTTCTACCACCATCCCTTCTGTCCCCTCACCCTCCCTCTCCCTCTTAACCTTAGAGCCTTCAGGGTATTTGTTGATATACCATAGTTTTTGAAAGTGTTTTACATTGTCAAATTATCTTTTATGTAAATACCCACTATTTGTGCTTACCATTCTGACCTGCTTTGCCGCATGTAATTTTTTTTAATTCCCTCCATTTTGTTAAAAATGAATGCATTTCATCCTTTCTTCTGGCTATGGAATATTCCATGGTATATGTATATACCACATCATTTTTGACCCATGCATCCATTGAAAGAGATTTAGGCTGCTTCCAGGTCATAACTATTGTAAATAATGCTGCTGTGAATATTGGTTTTATATTCTGTGGATATATGCCCAAGAGTGTGATTGCTGGATCATATGGTACATCTATTTTTATTTTTTTAAAGATGTATTTATTTATGCATACAAAAGCTGGGATATAGGCCAGAGTTTTGGAGTGGGGAGGTGAGAGGATTCACCAGAGACAGAGTGGGGAGCAGAACAGGCATATCTACTGAAATACACTGCTGAGGGGAGCGGTAGGCAAGACAGGAGAGGTCTGCTGTGCCATGTGGGTCACCTCCCTGTGCTGCAGGGGCTACAGGTAGCTTCACAGTGCTGTGCTTAACCCTTTGCGCCACCAGGGAGGCCCCACTCTTTGAGATTTTAAATGAACATCACCTTTAATATAAAAGTAAATACATAGATCCATGAGTCTTGGATCTGTCTAAATGTACACAGTTGGTAAAGCAGCAATCAAGAGATAAGTGGTGTCATTGGAAAACTCTGCTGATGCTCTAATGTGCTTTCTTTATCTATGAGCCACACATTTGAAAAAAGATTTTTTTTCTTATTTCTGTATATCTATGTAAGCCATATACATTGATCATATTTAGCTTTTTTCTATTGATACAGACCAAAAATAAGTTACTTTTCTGTGCTGTAAAAACTGTGGTTTAATCCTTTCCTTTTAATTTTCCAAAAGTCCACAAATAAGCGTATTGAAAATATGCAAAACCTAAGGAAGGAGAAGAGGAAATTCAGCAAAAAGTATTCAAGTCCTGCTCCCATTCCAGAGCCAGGAATCCTAGTAAGTATAGAGACTTCAATGAAATGAGCAGATCCTTATGTGAAACATTTATAATTTATATAGTACTGTAAATTTTGTTTTTCCTCTTCCTTTGAGAAATGTATAATTGCAATCTTAGAAGTTACTTTAAACTCTTGTAATCAAATCCTCATCTATTTTTTAGACCCCCTTTGCAATTATCCCCCTAGATATGATATATTTTGATGAAAAGAGCTTAATCTTTGAAAGCAAGTCATTCTGGATTCCAGTTTTTATCTGACCATATTTTATCCGACCAAAGTTATTTATTTATGTCTTTTTAGAAAATTGTATTTAATTAGTTTGTTTTAATTGTATTACTTTTCATTGAGGTATATGAACACTGTATATGACTTAGGGGAATAGGAATATTACAGTACCACTCCCACTACAAAACACCAATAATCCTTCACCACAGTCCGTTGTTCCTACTCCTACTTTTATTCCCAATCCCTCACCCTTCTCTAGGGTTTGTTTTGCCCATTCCTTTGTTTTGTTTGCTTAGATTCTACATATGAGTAAAATAATCCAATATTGTCTTTCTCCTTCTAACTTATTTTGCTTAGCATTATTCTCTCTGGTTTCATCCATGCTATTACAGATGGCAAGATTTCATCTTCTTTTGTAGTTGAGTAGTATTTCATTGTGTATTCCATTCTATCCAGAATGACTAATGTTTTGCATTACAAACAATCACATGTTTTTAATCCACTCATCTGTCATTAGTTTCTTTCCATAGCTTGGCTATTATGGATAGTGCTATTGTCAACACAGGAGTGTATATCATTCCTTCACATTAGTGTCTTTAATTCTTCTTGTAGATACCTAGGAGTGGAATTGTTGGGCCCTAAGTTCCTCCACATAACACATCATATTGTCTTTATGAGCCTTTTGCATGTATTATTAATTCTTTCTTGTAGCCAGACATAAATGTAATGAGACTTTCAGTAGATTTTAAAAGTCCTCCAGATATTTGAGGACAATTATTTCCTTCCTTCCTAGTCAGGCTTTCCTTAAGGGTAAAAATCTCCATTATCTTAATCCATTCCTCTTTCAACTTAGTAGTGAGTCTTATCCTCATTTGAGCAGTCTCCAATATCAGGATTATATTTTATCACAGAAAGGTTTGGGGAAAGTTATGCTTCTAATAATTAAGTATTTTTTATTTATTTTTTGAAATAAAATGTTATCAGTACAACTAATGAAAAGCTATATCACTTAGGAATTGCTAAGTGATTTAGCTCCTTATAAGAAAAATTCAGCTGCAAGTGGTTTATATAAAATATATATTTACTCAAGACAAAAATTTCTGACCTAGCCAATCTAGGATTGATACAGTGATCCTAAAAATTGTCAAAGAAACCCCAGGTTTCTTTAAACTTTTCCCATTACTTTTATTCTCATGGTTCTAAAGAGGCTTAGACATCAGTAGACATTGCATCCACGCTCCAAGAAAAATAAGTATAGGAGAAAGGTCAAAAAGCATGCATTTACTGAACCAGTTTTTTGATCAAAAGAGCTTCCTCTTTGTCTCTTTCTCTTCTTCTGTGTGTGTTTTGTTTTATTAGCGTCATCAAAGTATGGTTGACAGACAATAATCTGAACATATTTGAAGTATACATTTTTAAAATGTTTTGACTCTGGTACACCCATTAAGCTACCACAACCAATTCATCACTTGCAAAATTATTCTTATGCCCCCTTTTTATTTAAAGTGAAAGACTTTATATTTTAGAGCAGTTTTAGGTTTACAGAAAAATTGAACAGAAATTAAGAAATTAGAAAAAATGTTATTAACTCCTTTTCCTCCCCAAGAATTTCCCCTGTTACTAATATCTTGCATTGGTGTAATACATTAGTTATAAATGAACCAGTACCAGTATATTGTTATTAATTAAGGTCTGATGATTTTTGTTTAGGAAAGTTATTAATCATTTACCAAAAAAAAAAAAGTTTTGCACATTTCAGCTGCCCCTCAGCTCTTAAATATTCTATTTTATATTTTTTTTCAATTTTTCGTTGGCTTTTTCGTTTGAACAATTTTGATTGCAATGTCGTCAAGCTCTCTTAATTATATTATTAATTACTTATATTCATGGATATTTAAATTATTCTAAAATATTATTTTAGGTTAAATTCCTAACAATATTGATATATAATCTTTCAGTGAAAATGTCCAAGTCATTTCAAGGCTTAAAACACTCTCCCTACAATATTATATGCTTTCTCAATCACAGCTTGTACAAATTGGAAAAGAAAATCCCTATTTTTAACATCTCTTCTCATATCCATTATTTGAGAAATTGTTAGGGGGAAATGATGGCTACTCTATAACAAAATGACTTTGAACTTTTCCAAACTTATTGTTGGCTTCCACAAATTCTTCCTGCTTTTAATACGTATTGCCTGACTCATAGAAGAAAAAAAATTACACCCTATGTGATTTCTTTGATAATAGTGCCTTTCATATCTGGAGTCTATCAGGATGTAACCTTAGTTTAATTTCCAATAAAATTTCTAAGTCTCTATATAATTCTTTTTGTATAAGAAAATCTTCTCCCTATGAGACTCATATAAATTTTAGTTGAATCAATTTTTCCTTGTTTTTTTTTTTTTTTAAATCTCTTCTAGTGGTCATAAAACTGAAGTCTGTTCAAAAGAAATCAAGTACCAGGTCAAAAAAGAGGACACCTAACAGCCAAGTGGAGTATCATGACATTTCTTGATTTCATTTGAAACATAAAGGCAATATGCTGCCATTTCAACAAAATAAACAAGTGCAACCATTTACATCCAACTCAAAGGCTCTAGAATTTTATTAAATACCGTATCTCACTACCGCTTTCTTTTTGGTGGTAAATTTGGGAGTTGCTACTTTTCAAAAAATACTATGTACGGGACTTTGAAAACTCAAAGTATACTCATTTAAATTTTTGCAATTTAGAAATTTAGAATACAGCTTTAATAACAAGGGAAAATAGATTTCTTCTGCTCTGTAGTTATAATGACTGCGTTTAAACAAAATGTTTAATATCTTTAAATAGTCCCAGGAGACAATTTTAATACAATTAAAGCCTATATGTTGCTAGTGTAAAGAAGCTACAGTGTAGTTAAAATTTTCATTAAGGTAAAATTTGAATACTGAAATAATTTTACTTTTATGTATGAAATGATAGTCATATCTGTCTCTATAAAATACTTGCTTGACTGCATAAATATTTTCTAACATGCAAAGGAATTATCACAAGATGGACTAAAGAATACACTGTCAGAAGAGCCTCAGCTCTGGGAACACTGCAGGCTGCTACAGAAACCTGGAGGTGCCAGAAATGTTTGCTGTGAAGAAGTCATGTGGCCAAATTGCCTGGAGGAACCTGAATATCAAGTCCAGCCCTCTGTGTATCTGGGAGGGAATTGGGGGAGGGCAGGGAGAAGGAAACAAAAGATTAGCTGCACAGCCTAGTCCTCAGGGCTTTGAAGCACCCTCTAGGGTGGTGTTTTATAACCCTCAGTTCTGTGCTGTCCTCACAGATAAGTCTGACTCTGCAGAGTAAGAAATTTTTTAATATTATATGTATCATTCCTCTTTTATTGCTAGCCAAGAATGTAACCAGACTTATCTGCCATCACTGTTACAGAATCATGTTCTTTCTGTGCATGCAGTGCACCCTAATAAAAGGTATACAAATAAAAGCAAACCTCTCACAGGGACCTGCGCTCAGTGGAATATGAAAACAGCCTCCCCAGGGTTATGATGTCAGCTTACTCTAAATCTCTCTAATAAACTTCTCTTCGAATTACTTCACAGCAGTGATTATTTCACTTGATTATTTTCTAAATGGAGAGTATAAAGGTTTCCGGGGGCACAGGATTAGGTGTTGTGAGGGAAAAATCAGGTGTAGGTCAGATGAATTTGGGTGAAAGAATTCACCAGAGACAGAGACCACAACAGGTGGATTTATTGAAAATCAATATACTGCTAAGAGAAGCAGCAGGAAAGCAAGACAGGAGAGATCTGCTCTGTTGGGATTAGGGTCCCGAGGCTGTATTTATAATCCGGGCATCAATGATTGGTTAGAGTGACTAATCTTGAGTGTATCCTAACGAATGACCTGAAGTAGCATAAGGGATCATCAGCTTAATGCCCCAGTTCCCAAGACAGTCCCACCCACTGCCATCCACTTTATCTATTAAGCTTCCCAAACCTGCCAGCTGGGTAAGGAATGGGGGCTTAATTTTTAAATTTAGTAATGATACCATAATAGTAGGGAAAATTGGGAGAGTTTGGTTAATAGTACAAACTTTCAGATGTAAGATGAATGAGGTCTAAGAATCAGATTGATAACATGGAGAGTCTACTTGAGAACACTGTATTGTGTCACTGAAACTTGCTGAAATAGTGAAACTTAATTTTTTTTTAACTAAAAAAGGTAAATATAATAGGGTGCTAACTTGACGGGGAAAATCTTTTCACAATGTATACACATATCAAATATCTCCTTGTACACTTTAAAATATCTTATGAATTCATTTGTCAATTATATCCCAATTACACTGGGGGGAGGAGGAGAAGAAAAAATTTCTTACATGCTAAAATATTAAGGAAGATTTTATTCATGGGGAATTACTACAATGGGATTTTGTAGCAGAGGGGAAAGAGCGGACACAACATTGAATATAACAAGGAAAAGTGGGAATTTTAAAAATCAAGAAGCAGCATTTTACCAGATGAAAATTTGAGAGGAAATACTGATAGCATGCAGACTGAGGGGTATCCCGAGACCCCCAAACTTACACACTCTAAATGGGCTCTGCCCTCTGCTGCTTAAAGACACAGCATATTCTTCTTGTGAAAGAAGCCTAACAGGATTAGTGTGCAGAGAACATGTCAGGTATTATTTCTAAATTTAAAAACTAAGCCCCCGGGCCTCCCCTGGTGGCGCAGCAGTTGAGCGCTGGGCTGAGAGGCTGCCCGCAGCCTCTGCAGCGCCAGTTCGTTCCCTGGCCGCCTGTGAGGGTCCCACAAAAAAAAAAAACAAAAACAAAAACAAAACTAAGCCCCCACTCCTTGCCCAGCAAGCAAGTTTGGAGGCTTACATGCATAAAGAGAGTGGACGGGACTGTGATGCAAAGTGGGCCATTAAGCTGATGACCCAGCAAGCTGACCTGGATAATGAGTCAAGACACACCCAAGACAAGTCACACTAACCAGTCAATGATGCCTGGAGTATGGAGTCTTCGGACCCTCTCTCTCTGCACTGCAGACTTCTCCTGTCTCGCCTGCTGCTTCTCTTAGCAGTGTATTTCAACAAGCCTGCCTTTTCTCTTCTTCATTGTCTCTGTTGAGTTCTTTCACCCCAGAGTCTCAGGCCTACACCCCAGTTCTTCCCTGACAAAAGAGAGGATAGTTGTTTCCAATAAACATCCAAAGTTTCCCATACTCTCCTGGGTAAATGCCCAGAAAGGGTTGGCTCAAAGTTGGGCCACTGAGGTCTGAAAACTTCAACAAGTCCAAGGAACCTACTGGCAGGGAACCATAGGAAAGGGGTATAAGAGGCCAGGCAAAGCTGAGATAAAAGGAGCAAAATCAAAATACAAATCCAGGTGACATGTGCTATTGTCAGTCTATCCATGAATCTTCACCCATGTCTCTTCCCAAGTGTGTCTACAAGACTCAACTCTGTGTGTCTTCTGCAAATCTCCTTGCAATTCAGGTTAACCCTTCCTTAGGTGAGATAGGGGACATGGAACCTCCCCTGTTATGGAAATTATACTCTGTAACAAGTCCTCTCTGTAACAATATCAGGGGAAAGGTGAAATCTAGCTAAACTGACCTAAGGGCTTTCTTGGTGAATGCAGGCCAGGGGATCAGACATCATCTGTGGGATGATGGAGAATGAGGAAACTCATCCAATATGGAGGTTTATCAGTTATTCAGGGTAGAGGGAACTGTTCAATTGATTTAGTAAGAGTCTGCTGAAGGTGGGCACTGCTAAGTGGAACAAGGAAATCCAAAAGTCAGGACCTCGCCAAGAAGAGAGTTCAGGGGCCTCCCTGGTGGCACAGGGGGTTAAGCACTGTACTATGAAGCAGTCCGCAGCCTCTGCAGCACTAGTTCTATCCCTGGCCAGCCAGGGAGCAACCCACATGGCGCAGCAGACCTCTCCTGTCTCGCCTGCTGCTCCCCTCAGCAGTGTACTTCGTCAGTCTGTTCTGTTCCCCACTCTGTCTCTGGTGAATCCTCTCACCCCCCACATCTCTGGTCTATACCCCAGCTCTTGTATTCATAAATCAATAAATCTTAAAAAAAAAAAAAAAGAATAGAGTTCAAAGGAGCCACAGAAGAGATTGCTCAAGGAGAGATTTTTTGGGTCAGGTCTGGCATAAAGGGTTGTGTAGAATGAGAATAAGAAATTTGGGATGATGGATGTATTCTATATCCTGAATTACATGCATGTAAGCATGACAGTTTGTGCAAAGATGACATCTATGAGAAATTAGCCTAGAAGAACATATTGATAGCTCAAACTATAAATTGTGGTTTCTGAGGAATTAACTATAACAACATACTTTTTTGTAACATTTGAAGATTTTCTAACAAGCAAGGAAGAATAATGCAACGCAAGGAAAAAAAGCGATGCGGCAAAGAAACCAGCAACTTCACTGTTACTACAAAACTAGTAATGAATTTTCCGGTCCACCCTAGACTTACTAAATCAGCATCTACATTTTCACTAGATGCACAGGTTTTTCTTATGTCTATTAAAATTTGAGATGCATTCAAAATATTTCTAGAACAGCTCAAACTTTATCATTATTCTTGGAGAAATAAGTGGCTCCCTAACACCAGAAACAAATTGCAATCTTAACTACTGCCTCATTCAAAATGAGTCTAACACAAAATGAGTCTTAACCCCTGGTGGCACAAGGGGTTAAGCACCATACTGTGAAGCCATCTGTGGCCTCTGCAGCATGAGTTCTATCCCAGCCGGCCAGGAAGCTACCCACATGGCACAGCAGACCTCTCCTGTCTCGCTGCCTGCGCCCCTCAGCAGTGCACTTCGGTGGGTCTGCCTATTCTATTCCCCACTCTGTCTCTGGTGAATCCTCTCGCACACCCACACCCCATCTCTGGCCTGTACCCCAGCTCTTGCATGCAAAAATAAATCTTTAAAAAACAACAAAATGAGTCTAACACAGTGACGGATTTCGTGTGCTGCCTTCTAAATCGGTAGCAGTGCTGAGAGTCACTTAGAAGGCAGTCAAGGGTGCTAAAGTCCACCTGCAATTTGGGCTTTAATTTCTAGGCGGTCAGAGCCCCATCTCACAAGAGGTAGCATAAACTATCCAGAGTCATGTCACTCAGACAAGCGGCCACAAAGAACACAGGGGACCATGGTCACAAACTTTTCCATCTCTCCCTGCATTCTACCCTCGGTAGGCATTTCCCAGCACCAAGGCCTGGGCACTCCCCCGCCGGGCGCTCTGCCTGCAGGGCGGGGCCGCGCGCCACGACCTCCGGGCGCAGGAGGTGGGCTCGCCCTGCGGGGACCGAAGTCCGGCGAGGCGGGGCGGAGTCGCGAGAAGGGGGTGGAACGGGACGTTGCAGCAGGGGGAGGAGCCGGGGCGGGACGGGGCGTTGCCATAGGGGCGGGACGGGGCGTGGCGAGGGCGGGGCTAGGTCTCCGGACCGGTGTGAGGGCGGGGCGAGCGCCAAAGACCTGGGACCGGGTGTGACAGCGCAGCCCGCGCGGCCCGATCTGGGCGGGTCTCTCAGCGGCCCCCACCCCCAGCCGCCGTCGCGATGGGGATGTGTTTTCCTTGTCCCGGGGAGTCCGCGCCCCCGTCGCCAAACCTGGTGAGTAGGGCCGTGTCGACGCGCGTCCGGGTCCGCCAGGCCCGCCAGGTCCGCGCTGCGCGCACCTGTTCCCCGCGGGTGCGAGGCCAGGAGCCGGGGCGCAGGAGCAGCGGGTGGGCGCGGGGCCGCAGAGCCCGCCGGCGGGGCCTCCGCGGGCCTGGAGAGGTGGACGCGCCCCGAGGGACCTTGGGGTCCCAAGAGGGGGACCTGGCTCGCCGCCTCTTCGTCGGTCTCCCCACTTTCTTGACCGAAAATTGTCCAAAGACGATTCTGAGTCTTTTTCCCTTTGGCTGAATTGCGCAAAATGGGGAGCTCGTAGGACGCAGGCGTGTGAAGACGGGGCGGTGTATGGGCCATTCTTGGCGAAGTGGCAGGTGGCATTAGTATGCCAAAAAGAAATTCCTCTTTCTCGGCGACCTGAATTGTTTATATTCTAGGAGATGCGCAGCTCCCTGTGTCTGTACGAACTGTTTAAAGAAGGTGCTCAGTCAAGTCTCCTACTCCGGCCTTTTACTGAATATTGCATCAGTCAATGATTTCGCTTTAGCTTTTATCTTTCTTTTGCTTAAGGTCTACCTTAAATAAATAGAATAATTTTTGGAGCACAGAGTATACGTCGTGTAATGTCGTATTTAGCAATTAAAAATGCAGGGTGCCCAGTTAAATTTGAATAGATAAACAAGAAATACATTTTACAAGTCGGTTTGTCTTGTGCAATATGTGGGACATACTACAAGTTGTTATTGTTTATCTGAAATTCAAATTTAGGGGATTTGTGGTACTATACTTTTATACTTTTTGTAGCTTTTCATCTTTAACAGCATCTTTCTATTAATAGTCCTTACAGGGAATTAATAGCAGAACAACCTCTCTTCTATATTAAAAAATTCCTTGATCGAAAGGAGTTATTTAGGGAGTATGTTAACTCTTCTGCCATTTGATTATAGGTAGTGAAAATGAGCTACAAATTGATAGGGGCAAGTTCTTGTCTTTCTTATTACTGTTGCTTTTAAGGGTTAATTTTTCTCTGTGATTGATAAAATTCCAGCATTTGTTAATCCCTTCCCCCATCACAAAGCTATTGCAATATGTTTTCTTCCCTCAGATAACCACAAAGTTCACTGCTTGAATGCCACTTTATTACTGAGGCTTTTCTTGAGCAAAAAACAGATTCCCAGCAATTCCACCCACTCCTCCTTCCATATCATATCCACCAAAGTCTATATATTTCCCCAGAACATTTACTAGTATCTGATATATGCATTTACTTGAGTATATTTAAGTGTGTGCCCTTATTGCAAAGTAAGTTCCATATAGTTGGAAATTATTAATACAGCTCCAAAAGAATGCTACATACTATTTTATATATTTAAAGACCTTGTAATTAATATATGGTATTGCAAAATGATATATCCTATTTCCCAACAGCGAAAAGTACTACTCATGAATTTACTCTAGTACTTTCTGCCCTGCACAATGATAGCCACCCACTTCCTTCGTGAAACTTCTCTGAAAATACCAGCCTACTTCCTTTTTAACTGACAGAACCAGACCATAGATTATTTAATCAGCCAACCTTCGCATGTTTTATGTGTGTATGCATATAGGGAATATATATATATATATACACATTTTTTAGTGTATGCTCATTTGAAGTAAATTAATTGAAAGAATGAAGTTGAGAAAGTTAAGTATTTTACAAATATTGTAAATAGTGCTATTCTTAGTGGGACATTCTGGTCCAGTTCTAATAGTTTTATAAACTGTTATATTACTTAAAAGACCTAAGCATATAAATTATACATGAAAATGTGGTTTTATTTTAAAGCATACTTTTAAACATTTTTTCCTAGGAAGAGAAAAGAGCAAAACTTGCAGAGGCTGCAGAGAGAAGACAGAAGGAGGTGAGAGTAAAAATAAAATTCTACCTACCTAGAGAATGAAGCCTGTATTTCTTTTTTCTTTTTTTAAATTTTTTTCTTGATAGATGATTATTACTAGTAGTATTCTCTAATGCAAATGTAGATTTAAATACAATATTTTTAAAGTTATTAGTTTCTATAAGTTACATGAAAGTAGTTATATCATTTAATATATGAAAATTGTCATACAGATGTCTTATTAAGGTTACATGCCCCTTTAATAAATAGCCTTCCTTGAGATAAAATTGACAATGTCTTATAATACACTGGCGGCTGAAATAAGTTTAGGGAGATATTTTATGTGGTTACAAAAAACCCAGTGAAGACATTATAGTATAGTTTATGTTTTGTATAGAGTTGTTGTAAATACAGTCTAATTCATTGTTACCAAAAACAGATCAACTCCCCCTCACACCTGCACTGAAAAACCTAAAAAGCCAAAACAACAATGGGACAATGAATGTTGATTTTTGTTTCTTTTCTATACCTGTTGACAAATTTCTTAAAGGCTGCATCCCGGGGCATTTTGGATGTTCAATCTGTTGAAGGAAAGAGAAAGAAAAAGGAAAAATTAGAAAGGCAAATGGCTGCATCTGGACCCCCATCAGAAGGTGGACTTAGAGTATGTATAAAATTTACTTATGGTTTAATTTACCTGCAATTAAAAAAATTAAGCAGCAATCCATTCAATAATTTCCTCTTGAAATAGTTTATCAGAAATTTTTAAATTATTATGAAAGCATGAATAATGTAGTTTGGGAGAAATCTCTATTTTAACAATTCATTGGAATAAATTTGCTTTCGTTGCCCCACAAAAAAAAAAATAGATTTTTTTCTATTGTACTTAACTGTGTCTTAATGCTTAATACTAGCCTTAAATGTGTAGAAAACTCAAGCAATGTGGGAAGTAATAAAGAAGAAAGTAAACACCCCAGCAGTGTTATTTGGCAAATATTATTTCTGAGCTCCATTTATATATCAATCTTGTTAAATTGAATTATACTGTATGGTTTTTTTTATAACTTTTTATCGATTGGTGATTGAAGTAAATGTATTTGTGAAAAGGATTATCTTGTGATTTTCAGTCATTTATATGTAACTAGTCAATTATTTATGAGCAGTTATTTTTTTTCTTTTAGTTGATTACTATCATCTCCATTCAGTTTGGTTTTTTGCTGTTAAAACTAGACGTAAATACATATATGTACATATACCCCTAACTTATGGAGCAGCAACTTAGGGCATCCCAAGCAGAGGTGATTTGTTTCTTGAATATCACACGGAGATAAGATTTATCTGTGTCAATTTTACTATTGTGTATTATTTCATCTAATTTCATTTAGCAAATAAAGTTTAAAGAAAACTTTTTATCATTAACTTTTAATAACAAATTATTTGGTTTCAATATTAAGGTAGTAGTTGTAACTGATGTGCTTATGTGTTTTTATCTATGCCCATATTAGAATACAATAGATCTAGTGTGAAGTAAGACATTTGGGAAACACAAGGTCAAATATTTATCAGCAGTGTAAATACATACTTTCAATATTCCATTGAAATGAAGATCTCTGTCACCAGGTTTATTTCATATGGGATTCTCAAAAAATAAACAATTTGTGAAATTTAAATTATAGGACTGGAAGTAATGCTGACATCCACCATTTCATTGGCTAAGAAATGGAGGTACTGAGTGACTTGTCAAAGTGAAATATACCATTATAAGAAAAGGACATTTTATATATAGTAAGAATTAAGAAGGTACTTAAAATTTTGCATGTACTCATAGAATACACACCAGCTTTTAAAAACTAAGAAAGAAAGGGGCTTTCTTAATTAAATCTGAAGCTTTCATGCCCTGAATCTGATAATTTAAAAATAATTTGGGCCTTTTTTGTTCTGGTCCTCGAAGAAGTCCTCAAAATGAAAAGCATTCCCAATGTATAATTTAGTACTTTTTTTCCTTTGTATATTGTCCTAGATATATGAAACCTGTCTGGCTCCTTTAATAAAAATGACCCTCAAAGCCATCAAGAAGGATTTTCTCAAGAAGAGTGGGTCGATTCTCAGAAACCACTGCTATTGCTCACTGTGTCATTTTCCCTTGGAATATTCCTTGTTATTTCTACCACCACACCCTGGCTTGAGGGACATGTTCCTCATTCCTTTTCCCTTGACCACCTGTGTAGCTCATTGTGAGCATACATTGAAGTTCGTATTATTTGAAGGCTCAGCAGTAACAGAAAGGAAAATACAAGCACTGAAAATTAATCCTCAAACCCTTTGATCTGGTATTTTCTAAGGGTCACTATCAGGCCTTTTCCATAGGCTGGCCTGAAATGTCCTCTGGTTTAAACTAGATTCTTCCTTATCTTACTCCTTAGTATGAGGAAGAATATCTTGCCTGCCTTAATGTCCTCCATGTATTCACCTCCTGACTAACACTGCCTCCTCTCAGCATAATTGGCATTGGCAATGCTTAGTGTCTTCTGGAAAGGGAGCCTTATCTTAAGAAGTCAAGGTGGGGCCTCCCTGGTGGCACATGGGTTCGTCTCAGTGCTATCAAGCTATCACCAGCCACTGAGGCGGGAGTTCAATCCTGGCCAGGGAGCTGACCCACATGGTTCAGCAGACCTCTCCTGTCGCCCCTGCTGCTCTCCTCAGCAGTGTATTTCAGTCAATCTGCCCATTCTGCTCCCCACTCTGTCTCTGGTGATTGAAAAAAGAAATCAAAGTGATAATGGCTTCAGGATGCAAATTAACATTAGTGCAGGATCTGGCATAGTACAGTGCTCTAATGCAGTGGCTCTCAACCTTGTTTGTGCTTTACGATTTTCATGAAGAGTTTTTAAAAAACACTCAACCATGTGTCCTACCTCTTATCAGTCACAATGTCTAAAAGAGAAACTTAGCCATCAGAATATCTTTATGCCCCCCTAGGTAATCTAATGTTTAGCCACATTGAGAATCACTATTCTAGAGATTTTGAGTCTAGTCTTAAAAGATATATCATGTAAAATAGAGTTCCATGGTAAAAAAAAACAAACAAAACTTGACTACCGTATTGTACACTGTATCCCTTTCTTTGAAACTAAGACACAGCATTGGCTTCTCAAAGAAGTTCTGAAATTAAAAAAAAGCATACTTACTTTGATTGACCTTTAATTTTCAAAACATTTTAAACACAGATTTTAATATCCAGTAATATTACTGGGATGCACTTGGAAAATACCACTAGTAATTCTCTGGTCTGGTCCCAGAGGTTCTCTCAAAACATATTTTGTACATTTAATAGACTCAATTAAACAGAACAACAAATGGAATTTTCTCAAGTTATGCAAGAGAAAGACTGCCATAGTATTATTTAATAATTTCGACTGTGTCTCAGCTCCCTACCTCAAGTAGTAATTTTTAAATTTCTGTTTTGTAATTTCATTGTTGTTTTTGTTTTGTGGTATTTTGTTTTGGTTTTGCTTTATTGATTATTAGATATTTGGCATCCAGCTATCCACTAATTGGCCCAGATATTTTGTTTTACTTCTTGACAATTTTAAACCATCATATATCTCATTTCAGACTTTTGATGATAATGTAAAATTTTACCATTTCTGATTTTATCTAAAATAATTTTACATTTGTGTATCCCATATTTCTGTGTTAGTTCGCTAACATGCTGTAACATAACTTTCAATTAAGTTTACTTTTCTCTATATATTTTTATCTTTTCTAGTGGACGGTTTCATAAAGTACAAGATGAGTGGAAGAGTCTACTGCCAACAACTAATATCTGCAATCAAGTGGACATCCTCAGTTTAATATCTTGTTTTTGAATAAATGAAGATTCAGACTTTCTATTATTAGTATCCATAACTGCAGTGCTTTTTCAGAATGCTTTTGATTTTCAAACTTAGAAAAACACCAGATATTTCAGTGAATATTTATTTTCCTATACTTACTCTTCTGCAGATAGTGGATGATTTTCCATTTTTTGATAGCTAAAACATCAACGTAAAGCATTGCCTGTAAAACTTCTGCATACATCTCAAATATTAAAATTTTCAATTGCGTTGTCCCTTTGTAAAATAATCTAGATATTTATAATTGTGTAGTTTAGCCTTATATGTTTATTGCATTACATGTGAAGGACTTTTGCTTAAACTTATGGACTTGGTGCCTTTAAACTGATCATCAGGGAAAACATTTAAAAAATCACTTGAAGGGCTTACGTGGAGGAACATTATGAATTTTTATAACTTAGTAATCAATATTTGTAGAAAATGTTTAATTTCTTCTAATTTATTTTCCATTTCTGCAGCTTATAAAATTAACATGGTGTGTTTTACATTAGAATAAGTTTTTGTTTTTGTTTTCCTGAATTTAAATTATATGTTCATGTTACCATCAGAGGGCAGTGATGTTCTATTGTACAGTATCAGACCAGAAAGATCTTTGAAGTAATTAAATGAACTAATCTAGGAATCTGGATGGATTATGAATGACGATGTATTGTCCAAATTTTACAGCTGTTTTAATTTTTTTTATTTACTGAAGAGTGAGCAGATTTATGCAGATATGAAATTGCCACTGCAAATAAGAAGTACGGAAGAAAAGCATGTAGTACTATATTCAAAAAGGTCTACTTTAAACAAAAATATTATGAGGTAATTCCATATGATGCTTAGGCATAAACTTTATATTTTTGTTTACTAGTAATATGAATTTTTGGTAGCATTTGTATTTTCTGAGTTTTTCCTTTTAATATGTAGTTAACTAAAAGAGAAGAATTGCTTTATCTTGTCATTATTTATTACTGATTGCTAATTCTTTTGAATGGTGAGACTGTAATCTGAAGTCTAAATTAAAGTTTGCAGATACTAAGTGCCAATAGGAACTGTAAATTAAATAGACCAATTTATTTGATTTACAGAAAGGAAACTGAGCCAATGTTGCATCCATCCCTCCCACAAGATATGCTACATTGCACTATATTGTATATGTTAATTTTAAGAGTTCAAACGATAATGTAGGTCTCTTGACTCCTCATTGTAAAAATCACTTTTTCTATTATAGCATGAAATATTGTAGGAATATCAGGCAGGACACATAATCTTAATTTTCTTCAGCCTTTACAGGATTATTGGTATTTTCATAAAGATAGTGAAACCACTGAGTTGTGTTTTAGAAGGAAAAAACTTACCTTATGAACGTAATTAAATTTTTCAAGACAGAAAGGAAATTGGATACACTAATTGCTGGATGGATGGGAACCAGAGCATATAATCCGTGAAGTGTGCAATCCCTTCCTATTGTTGTAAAATAGAAAGGATAATCTTACCTGTATTACATGTTCAAGAATTACAGCTTAGGTTAATTTAAACAAAAGGTTTACATCAAGGAATAATGCCCTATTTCTAGTAGCAGTTTATATCCAAATACCATGCTTATTTACTGTTGAGCTGTGAATAATAAATAATATGCGGGTGTATTGCTTTCTGTGTATGGGAATATGAGAATCCAGCCAACCATAGCCTGCCTCCATGGGTGTGATCAGTTTCCTCAAAACCCCAAGGGTTGCATGTGCTAAAGGGTGATACATAAATGTGTCAGGAAGGGGAAGGAAAGAGAGAGAGAGAAAGTGTCTAATAGGAAACTAGTAAGTGAGTAGGGGGAAAAAATGTACGCACACGTACACATACACCCCTCATAAAATGATCAGTTCCTGGTGAAAACATTAACTTGGAACCAATTTGGCATAATTCATCATTTAAAAAGGAAAATATAATGCTTACTACATCACTCAACCATACTACTAAACTATAACAAATAGTAAAATGCATAGATGTAACTATCATGTTAAGATGTAAAATGCTTAAATCGTTGCTTCTTAAATCTAATCAAACAATATGGCTGATAACAAAATGTTGTGTACTGTTACACAGCCCCTGTGCTGACATGTAGCATGTTTTTTTTAAACATCTCTGTGATACTACTGTTCCACTAATTGTATTATTTTGTAATTAATAGTTTTCCCATACATGTTTTGTTAAAAATTCTGTACTGCCTTATGAGGATATAAATATACATTTTTCTTATATAAAATTTGGCTTTGGCCATCTTTATTAAACTTATCTAGATTTGGGCTAGTTGCTGGGCAAATTTCAGCAATAGTTTCATCACTTTGGAACTAATGAGAAGAGAACTGGAGACACTTTGATATGGTCATACAATCTCTAAATTTTTAGGTACGCCTGTTTCTTTTCATATATTCTAAAGGAGAAATGATATTATTTGTGTCATATTTTTCTTTCAGAACTAATACTGTAATAAAGATTCCAGCTGTCATCCTTTGTACCCAAGAATTATTTTCCTTTTTCCCTTCAATCATTTAAATGATTTTCATTCATAAGAATTCTGCTACACTCTTAGAAGTAACTTACCAGTTGCATAAATAGCTGGCAGAAAGGCATGTAAATATGCATGCATATCTGTGTGGAGATTAAAGTTGTATTCTTTTAACATTTTCTGCAGGCAAACATCTCAAATACCCATGTGCTGCTATCTGTGCTTTCTGTTGATTCAGATGTGGTGCTGTGGCCATTTTCTGTGATTTTTCTTGAAGGCTACTGACACAAGGCATTTGTTTAGGGAGTAAACATTGAAGAAGTTTTGGGTTAACACAAAGAAGTTTGTGTCCCAACTCAAACACTTCTATTTCTTTATGACATGGTTTTACCCTGTTCTTCCTCTTATAGGTAGGCTTCACCTTGCAAATATTGTCTCTAAATAAGGTCACTATAACCTAAGAATTGAATATTCATAAATTACTTGACCCCAATATCATAATTTTATTATATACTGAATTACATTACATACTGTTAGAGCAACACATTTGACTTGTTGAGTGTTGAGTTTCAAGTTGTCCTCGAGACAGAAAGACACAGGTTTACACCATCATCTCCAAACACTTCAAATTTATTAGTCCTTTAGATTTGAGGCAAGCTTTTGAGCCCCCACAGTCCTGCTTTGGGCCACTCCTGTTTGGCTGGGCATTTACCCGGGGAGGGGATGAGTAAATTTGGGTGTTGTATTGGGAATCAACTTTTTCCCAACTAATCGGGAAATTATCCTTTCTTTTCTTCTTTCTCTGTGCACACTAACTTACTAAAGTTATTTCACACTAAGAGTCTGCTTTGTCTTTAGGCGGCAGATGGCAGAACCCATTAAGAACATGTAAGTTTGGGGATCCCGGGTGCCCCTTAGTTGTGTATATTAACACTTTGACCAAATCAGTCATGTGGCAAACTAAAATACTGCCTCCTCAATTTTCTGGAGCAAAAAAGGGGAATTTGTTATTGTTGAAAAATGACAGACCAATGAACTCTGGCTGTATTTTGTAAACTGAAGGTCATATGGTCCCCTACTAACGAGCAAACACCACCACTGCCCAGCTGCTCAAAATGAAAGGTACTAGGTCACAACAACTTTACTGTTCTTACAACTTTCAGGGAAAGCTGCCACTTGAAATTTAAGTTTAATTCAGAATGAAGTATTAATATAGAGACAAATACATTTTTTAAAATTTATCTTCTTTAATTCTTCAATCAGTGAGGACACTATTTTGCTGTTCATTGGTACAAAACAGCCCTGTCCCAGTATACAAGGGTATACAGAATTCTGTAACATCATTAGCTACAGTAAACTTACTTTACTAGATAGCATAGCAAAGTAGGATTAACTAAAGATATATTTTAATAAGAAAATGCTTTAAAATAACACGAAGTCAATGAACATTTGACTGTACAATTTACTTTGTCAAAATATAAAGTATTGTCAGTTTATGTGTGTGAATTACACTAAGTCTCAACATAGCCAGGTGCTCAGGTTCTTGGGAATGTGTGAAGCAATTCATACATCATGATTCTCTAAGGGGTATACTGAAAACTTCCACAAGTATCCCAGATATTTGGTCAGAGATAAGGAACAAACGTTAAGGCAATCTTCCAAGTAAATGTAAACTTTTCTGAAGTGGCCTTTCCAGTAAATTATTATTATTGGGAATACTCTGTACTTACAACGCTGTTGGGTATCATTAGTAGCACATGATCACACTTACTGTCACTTTAAGTTATTTAACTCAAAAATCCTGCCATTATAAAATGTCTGGGGTGCTTTTACTCTGTAGACATAAAACAGGCACTTTCTGTTGACATATCTGTAAATCCTAAATATTTTCTAGCAATAGATGTGTCTCTAGCCAGAATTGTGTTTCTAATAGTGTTCTAAATACTGTGGTCCTATATTAAGAATAATTTGTCTGTAATTTTTCTAATTTAAATCTGAGCTTAGAATGTCTTTTAATAGGGCATTAGCTACAGAAGCATTAAAAATAAATAGTGCTACTCTTTGAACATTTTTCAATATGACATCTTTTGTTTGTCACCCCTTTTCCAAAGTGATTTTCAGAGCATGTGAACTAAACTGACTACAAGGAGAAGTGGACACAGGCCATTAGGAGAGTCCCCTTATAGTGACCAACTAGTTTCATTTAATCTCTTTCTTAGCCTTATAATTGGCAGAGACCACCAGGTAATTATCTGGATTCATGTCCTTCAGGGTTGGAGACTTGCTCTGGATGGGCGATGTTTTGCCATCCACACGGGAGATCTGCAGCATCCGGCAGGGGTCATGTTTCAACAAATACCCTGCAAAAGTCTCCCATCCTCCGCCCACACGGACCATGACGTGTTTGTTGTGCAGCATCTGAAATGAAAGCACAGCAGAAGTGTTACATTCTGGGAATTCTAACAGTATCTCACATCAACTACTAGTTCTAGAGTTGTTATTGTTTTTTGTCTTGTTTTGCATGTCCTGTTGTTATTCTACTCCGTGTACAGTGTCTGAGTTAGCATACAGTTTATAAAAGAAGCTTTGTTTTTTCCAGGCAAGCACACTATGGATAGATGTCCCAGGACCCAGTTTTGCCCTGCTATGGGGTCACGGGACTATATACAACCTCCTGCTGGGCTCAGTGGGTCTGGAGGTTTCTCTCTGATACTCCTGGTTCCATTATAGCCTCATCAGTGCTGACCATCTCAAACCTGTACTTCGTTTTCCCCTTGGGGTTATACCCTCCTGAACCAGAAATTAAAAGGCCATGGAAATAGCTGCTATTGAATATAATGTTAAGAATCACAGAAACATTCAATACAAACAGAAGGGAAAATGCATTCAGAAAAATCCAAGTCTTTCCCAGTCACTGCCTTCCAAGTCATATTATTGAATGAGCAAACATTTATGTTTTCCTTTATGTTTGGTCTTCCTGATTTCTCTATAAAACATCTTCTAAAAGAACTTACCTTTAGATCTGTGAGCCATCTAGAACTTCGGGTTAACAAGGCTACAGATTGAGCAAATGAAGGCTACACTGTTGGGTGCTTTCAGTCTAGTAAAAATATGTCAGTTGTGAAAGTCTGGCCTGCAGAGTAATGAATTTAATCTTGGCTTCTTTTAATACCAGATAATGGAGATTAAAAGTGAATGTTGTACTATCACCCTGTTGATGCCCCACCTATTCAGCATGTTATGAGTGCATACTAGCAATATGATTTGGGAAGGGGCTGTGGCTGTGTTGGAGACTGGGGGAGTCATTTTTATCGTAGATTCTGTAAGATCAATTTGAATTTCCCTCACTGTCTGCTCAAGATTTGCACTTTCTTGATCCCGTTAAATGGAGGACAACTTCTCCTTTTACTGCTTTTATTATCTGTTGTGAATTTTATGAAAGTTTTGTAATCTCTTTTGAATGTTTATATTCATAAAAGTTTGTCTTTATGTTAGGGGGTTCACAGACTCCCAGAAATTTATCCATGGACTCAAACTAAGAAATTGTCATTCATGTGGTTGACCTGAAGTAGCTTTAAAAATCAAACATTGTGCAAAGTAGTAAAAATGTGCCAAATGGCTATAATTAAAACTATCAGACTCATGAAAATTACATGTAACTCTACTGGTTAGTCTCAGTGTGTATGGATTTTAGAATACAAAATAATTTAGGAAACATCTTTAAGCCAGCAGTCTTTAAATTTATCTTACATTGGAATCTACTCATTAAACACAATCTCAGTGGAACTCCTGAAATATAAAAGAAGATAAGTTAGGATTTAGCTCGTAACCATTTCCTCCCCATGTGCTGCCAGTTATATTGTTGTTGTTTTTCAGAGGAAAACATTGAGACCCAAGTCTTTTATGAGATTTCTTTAGAGTAGGACCCCGCTCTTCTGAATCCCTGTGTAGTCCCACAATAGTTCCTCCTTATAAAATAAAATCCATCAAGGTTTTTATAGTTTTACTTGCCTATTTTCATTCACACCAGTTCCTGTGTCTCTGTTGCCAGTGTCAAAATGACACTTTGACCCTTTCCTCCACTCTTCCAGAATGTGGCTTTGCCTATTGTTGAAGTTTTGGCACCTCTTGGCCTTGCAAATTAGTTAAGAGTTGCCCTGAAATATCCTTGGTATGAAGGTCTTTGGCAGAATGCCCAAGATCATTTGCCTGACTCTGAACAAGCCATTTCAATCAGAAATACCCATCAGAGATTTTTAAAACAATTATTTAACTCTGCAAAATAGTGAAAGAAATGAATATTCTTCTGTCTGGTGATTATGATCACTTAAGTATAAACTCTCCTTACAGATTCCTTAGTGAGTCCACAGGGCCATATGAGTGAATCCGACATGAATATAAATAACACAGGAATTGAATTTCTGCTCACTTATTCCATATCCTTCTTATACCTAATCAGCAACCTATAATTTCCTAAGGAAACCAGTGGTCAAACTGTTAACAGCTTCAAGCATGGGCTGAAGATAACAGGGCCTCATCACAAGCCTGATGAGACATTTCAGTATTCTCCCTCAGTGTGTGCTTAGTCTTAAGAATGATAACATTACACATGCACCTGCATAAACAAAACCCCCTACTGTTCCTTTTAAAGCAAATTCACTAACTGTGAACCAAATTACTCTCAATTCCTTCCCCTTTCTCCTCCCTAACATTTGTCCTACAAAACCCCAAGCTCAGATCAAGAATATAATCTTCCTTCTAAGCCAGGGAAGCTGCAGAGCTCTGCTAGAAGAACTTGTTCCTTCTCAGAGATCAGTAGTAATGTTAGGCCAACTGCAACTGATTGATCCTTTCACTTCTGCTTTGCTCAGCTCCATTTCCTAGTCTTCGCTGCTATTCTAAACACACCATCCACCTCCATCTTGATCCAACTACTGATGACTTCATCTTCATCAGGGATCGTTTTCTTATTCTTGGCTCATTTACTTCTATCTACATTGATCCCTTTTCCCACCTTTTTTTGGCACAAGGTCTGTTCTTCCCTGTTATGTCCTAATTCCCTCATGCAGAACTTAGCTGCCTCCAACATCCTGTGCCTTTTCTTCCCTCTTCTCCTTCCCCAACTTAACTTACAATGGTTCACAGCCTTGAGGAAATAAACACACCTGAGTCTCTCCCACTCTTATTCAAAGATGAATTCTGTTCCTTCCAGCCCAGTCCTTACCTTTTACATATGAGCTTCCTGATAGTTGTTTACACTAACCACTATCCAACCCACATAGCACATAGTTCATGTTGCTTCTGTTCCCTACCTCTTAACTGACTGTACAGGGAAAAGAGACCAACTGGCTTCTAGAATTATCGAACTCAATGGATAGTCCTTAATCTTTATCTTTCTTATCTCTCAGGCAAAATACCTGACAGTATTCACCACTCCTTTCCTCCAATGCCCTACTTCATTCTCTCTAACAAAATCTCTTTTCTGTATCCCCAGCTAGATTGTTCTTTCTCTGCATCCTTTGTAGGTTCTGTTTCTTTTACCTATCTTTAAATGTTGCTGTTTCAAAGGATTCTGCCCTTTTTCCGTTGCCTTTTCACTCTAGTCATTTTCTTTGCAACCTCATGGTTTTCACTATCAACTTTTTTGTCTTCCAAATTATAATTCTAGCCCTTGCTTCCTACCTGAACTTCCAATCAGAAAAACTTACCAGTCTTCTGCCTTCCACGAGAAGGCCCCCACATGCCTTCCCTAATAAGACAGGTGCACGGGTATTCTTTGTAACTAGTCAGATACCAAAAGCATTGTTCTCCCCTCCCTGCCCATCCTCTTCACCATAAATGCTTCTTAGGGTCTTTGTTTCCACTGCTGCTATTTAGTTCATCATTTCTCTGGGCTACTGCACAGGTATAACTGCCTCTAGTCTTGCCCTCCCTATCAACTCAGTAAATTACCACCAAAGGGAATACCGAAAATGCAAATTGGATCATCTCCTGCCTTAATACTTCTACTAGTTTTCTCCCTCCCTTCGGCTGAGATTCAAATCTCTTTACTTGCATATACCATTCTCCATGAATAGTCCTGCCAGGTGCATTTGTCCTTTGCACTCTAGGACCCCATGACATTTTTAAATTTAATATTCCCAGATAACATTTTTTCTTTCATACTATTTTACATTTGTTCTTAAATGTGGAATTCCCTTTCTGCTCTGCCGCCCTGTTTACCAGGAACACAAACATTACTCCAGTTCAAACATCTCCTTCAGCTGAAAAATTCTCCAGGATCATATCCCTCACTGGATAAGGGTACACTTCCTTGTTATGTACACATGTTTTCATTGTTTCACTCACTCTACTATATTAATTGCAAATTTACCTGGATGCCCCATTTAATAATGTGTGAAATCTCTGAAGAGAGTGATGACAAATTTCTAATTTTTGAAAACTAACATGGGTAAACTCTAAATATTCTCAATACTATAGTTGTATCACACTCCTTTTCATGTATTATTCCACAGACTCTACTTACTCTTCCTAATCTAGGGTATCATTATCAATTATTACTCCATTTTATAGAAAGGAAAACCAATGTTTTTGGAAGAAGAACTGATGCTCTTAAATATCTGTTGAAAGATCACATAACAAATCAGTGGGGAACATAAACAAGAATCCTTTTTTCCACTTCACTACACCTACTTATTCTGTAAAACTCCTGGATTTGTATTTTCGTACCTGCTTAGTTATTTACAATTTAGCACAGATAAGAATTCTTAGTGCCAGAAATAGTAATAAGTAGCTTAAGCAGATTAGATGCTCATGTAAAATGACATTTGGTGTTATGTTCTCATAAAACCTAAATAAACAATGACTCCAATTTTAGAAGATTAGCCTTTAGTGGCCCTAATTTTTTCAGAAATAAACATGTGTAACGTGCAGGTAATAAGATAGAATATATTTACAATCAGCTGTTGGCAGAAATAGAATGGAGCTTTGATTCTCTCTGTTCAGTGTACATCTACCTTGCAACTCTTTTTATTTTGATGCATTACAAGATTGAATAATGGTGTGCTCTCTATTCCAAAAACAACTCCTCTTGGCTTGTAGCCTCAGTGCACATGTTAAATGAGTATTTAATGGTGGTTTTCTATGTTATTGCTTATTGCACTTCTCAAGAAAAATAAATTGGGGGCCTCCCTGGTGGTGCAAGGGGTTAAGCACCACACAATGAAGCAATTTGCAGCCTCTGCAGCATGAGTCTGATCCCAGGCCGGCCAGGGAGCAACCCATATGGTGCAGCAGACCTTTCCTGACTCACCCACTGCTCCCCTCAGCAGTGTACTTCAGCCAATCTGCCTGTTCTGTTCCCTGCTCTGTCTCTGGTGAATCCTCTCACCCCCCACACCTCTGGCCTGTACCCCAGC